CCGCCGCCGCCGCCCTTCCCGCTGCTGCTGCTGCTGCTGCTGCAGCAAGGGCAAGTCGCTGTTGCTGCTGCAGTAGCAGCAGCAACAGTGCCATGTATGGCGGCCGTGGCAGAAGCAGCTGCTGCTGCTACGCCAGCTGCTGCTGCTGCGCCAGCTGCTGCTGCTGCTGCTGCTGCAGCTTTGCTTGGGTGTTTTCTTGTACTTTTTTGGGTAATTTTTGCTGCTTGTGTTGCTTCTTCCAGATACAAATGTTTATTATTTATTTGTTTATTTATTTTATTTATTTAATTTAAATTTATTATTTTATTTTCATTTATTTGTTTGTTTGCCTGCCACTTGTTTGCTGCCGTCTGCTCCTCAATTCCTCTTTTGTGTCCTTTGCATTTAATGTTTTCTTTGATTAAATGAAATCATTTATTTTATTTTATTTTATTTTATTTTATTTTATTTGTCAATTTAATTTAATTTAATTATTTTGATTTAAGTCCTTTTGTCTTCTTCAGGCTACTGGCTGCATGCAGTGGACGTGGAACCTTCTCCCTTCTGTCCGTACGGCAGCAGCTGCTGCTGCTGCAGCAGCTGCAGCAGCAGCAGCAGCAGCGTGCTGCGCAGCAGCAGCAGCAGCAGCATATTTGCTGTTGGCGAAAGCTCTGCCACCGGCATTTTCTCGCTGCTGCACTTGGACTGTCGGCTGCAGCATCCTGTTGTAATGGAAGTCAAAAGAAACAAACAAATGCTGTGGCCCCTCAGAGTACAAGGTGCTGCTGCTGCTGCTGCTGCTGCTGCTTGTGTTGCTGTTGCTGCTGTCCCTTCTGCTGTTGCTGCTGCTGCTGCTGGAGGTGTTGCTGCGGCTCCAGTTTTGGGTTTTGTTGCGTTGGTGATCAGGGGTTCATGGTTGCTGCTGCTGTCCAGTTGCTGCTGCTGCTGCTGCTGCTGCTGCTTGTTTGTTTAGACTATAATGTTTTTGTAAATGACATTTTCCCTCAAGGAGACTTCGAAGGAAGGATCGAACAGATCGATTTCAGGTGCGACCAGCAGCAGCAGCAACAGCAGCAGCAGCAGCAGCAGCAGCAGCAGCACTTGAGCAGCTCATTTCACCGTTCTTTCTTCTCCTCTTTCCATTTTTCTTGCTTCCAGCACTGCCCTGTAAATAAATAAATTATTTTATTTATTTATTTATTTATTTATTTATTTATTTATTTATTTATTTATTTAGAATGACGCACTCTTCAAACCCCCCGCTGGCCTACGCAGTCGAAGGCCAGCGGGTCGAAGACATCCGACTCTTCAAGCGGGAGGTAAAATAAGTACATTAAATTAATTTAATTTAATTAATTTAATTTATCAAATTAAATTAATTAAATTAAATTAAATTAATTAAATCAAATTAGTTAAATTAATTAAATGAATAAACAAAAGTACAGGCGAGGGAGTTTGCTTGGCTTTCTTTGATTTGACATTTTGGACACTTTTGACTTTTTGAGTTTTTTATTTTTTAAGTCTTTTTTTATTTTTAAAATCTTTTTTAATCTTTTTAGTCTTTTTAATCTTTTTTAATCTTTTTAATCTTTTTAAATCTTTTTAAATCTTTATAATCCTTTTAACCTTTTTAAGTCTTTTAAATCCTTTTTTAATATCTTTTTATCCTTTTAAATCTTTTTTAAATATTTTAAAATATATTTTGGTTCTTCATTAAATCTTTTTTGGATCTTTTTGAAATCGATTTTTAATCCTCTTTTAATTTTTTTAATAGTCTTTATCTAATCTTTTTCGAATCTTTTTCAACTCTTTTTTAAATCCTTTAAAATTCTTTTAAAATCCTTTATTTGTTTTTCCTTTCTTTGTTCTCTTTTTTGCATTTGAGTTGTGTTTTTGTTTCATCTTTGAAGATTTGAATTTTCATTTTTTGATTTTAGTCTTTTAATTTTAATTTAATTTTAATTTTTTTTTATCGACTGCGGGCTTCTCTTCGCTCAAATCCAATTAAATGAATCAAAGAATCATTATTTATGTATTTATTTGTTGTTTATTTATTTATTTATTTGATTATTTATTTATTTGTTTATTTATTTATTCTTTTATTTATTTATTTATTAAAATAAATTAATTAAACGGCCACTTATTAAATACTTGTTAATTTATTTATTATTAAATTAAATTAATTGAATGACCCTTTATTACACGCGAATTAATTAATTATTCAATTGCTTAACTAATTGATTGATTAACTAATTGTTTAATTAAGCAGTTAATTAATTAATTAAACAACTAATTAATGATTACTTAATTGTTTAATTCATTTATTAACTACTTTGTTGTGCTGCAGCTGTACGTACTCTCGAGCGCCCCCGAAGGCGAAATGGCGGTGTGGCGGCCAAGTGTGGGGTGTGGGGTGTTGGGATCGGGATCGATGGGATCGGGATCGATGGGATCGACGGGGGGAGTTGGGGGGCTGTGGGGCGCAGCAAAAGGGGCCCAAAGAGTTGCTGCTGTCGACAGATTTGACGCGCACAACTGGAAGGACCCCCTCAAGCTGCTGCTCCTCTATGAGAGTGAGCCCTTGCTGCTGCTGCTGCTGCTGCTGCTGCTGCTGCTGATGCTGCTGATGCTGCTGCTGGTCATGATGATGGTAATGCTCAGTTGTTTGCTGCTGCTGCTGCTGCTCTTGCTTTGTTGCTTACTGCTGCTGTTCCTCTTGCTGCTGTTGCTGCTGTTGCTGAGCTGTGTGCTGTTGCTGCTGCTGCTGCTCTTACGCAGTTATTTGCTGCTGCGCCTCTTCGCTTGCTGCTCATTTGCTGCTTCTCCTGCTGCTGTTTCTCCTCTAGCTCATTCGCTTTCTGCTGCCGCATTCCTTGCTGCTGCTTTTGCTGCTGCTCTCTTTCCTGCTGCTGTTTCTTTTCCTGTTGCTCTCTTTCCCGCTGCTGCGTTTCGTGCTGCTGCCATTGCTGCTGCTGCTGCTGCTGCCTTTGCAGCTGTACTCTTTCGCAGAGCTGCATTTGCTGCTGCTTTCTTTCCTGCTGCTGCCTTCCTTGCCTTTGCCCTTCTCTGCTGCTGCCCCGTTGCCTGCTGCTCCCTTTGCTGCTTCTCTTCCTGCTGCTGCTGCCTTTGCTGCTGCTGCTGCTGCTGCTGCTGGTTAGCCATTGGGCAGCTGCGTAGCTCCATTTTAGAACCCTTCTAAAACCCTCTTTAAAACCCTCTTCAAAACCCTTTTTAAACCCTTTAAAACCCCCCGAAAAGTCCTTTCTAAAACACTTAAAAAGCTCTCTCCTGAAAGCCTTTAAAAGTCACGTTTTTATTTTTTTTGTTTTCTTTTTCTGAAAAATTTTTTGGAATTTCTTTGGAGTTTTCTGATTTATAAAAGACTTATTTGTCTTCATTTCTTTTGCTGCTGCAGCAAGTTCATTTTATTTTCTTTTTCTTTTTTTATTTTATTTTTGGAACTTTTGCTGTTTGCAGAGGGCTGGGCTGTGACTGCGGGAAATACTTTGACTGTGGGGCACATTTGTAAGTAAGCTGCTGCAGCAGCAGCAACAGCAGCAGCTGCAGCAGCGGCAACAGCAGCAACAGCAGCAGCAGCAGGCCCAGCAGATCCAGCCGCAGCAGATCCAGCAGCCGCAGCTAATCCAGCAGTAGGTGCAGCAGCAGCAGCAGTAGGTGGAGCAGCAGCAGCAGCTGCAGCAGCAGCAGCAGCACCAGCAAGAGCAGCAGTTTGAATATATGAAGTTGGCTGATCTTTGAAAAAGAAATTGGAATGATTAAATGGAAAATATAAACTGGATTTATTCATTAATTTTTGATTTATTTTCTGATTAAAAAAAGCCAAAGAGGAATTCGAAGAAGTTTCTTTTGAATGGCTCTCTTCTGAGGTGTACGTACACCTGGCGAGCAGCGCAGCAGTTTAAAATTGTTTTAAAATACTTTTAATTTTATTTCAACTTTATTTTAATTTTATTTTAATTCTATTTTTATTTTATTTAAAACATTTTGATTCTTTTATTTCAAACTGGAGACAAAAAGAAAAAGAGAAATCCAGAAGACCATTTAATTGAATTCAAATTCGAAATAGATTTACTTCAATTCACAATTATTTATTTCAATTTGCAGTTATTATTTTAATTTAGAATTATTTATTCTAATTGATAATTCTTTGTTTAAATTCAAAATTATTTAAATTCAAATTTCCAAATTCAAATTCAAAAGAAACGGCTCCACGGAAAGTGTTCGGGTGTCTGTACACCTGGAGGTACGCGCAGCAAATGGAATTTCTGATTTTTCGATTTTTGAATTCCAAATTTTAATTTTTAATTTCAATTTTTAAATTTTGAATTTAAACTCTGAAGATCTTCTGCTGCCACATGCAGCGCAGGAGCAACGCTGCTGCGGCTGCGTTCCTGTAACGTGTTTCTGTTGCTGCTGCTGCTGCTGCTGCTGCTGCTGCTGCTTTTTAGATGTGTTGAGTGTCCTGTGGCTTTTCTTGTTTGAATTATTTGGGAGAAAGATTTGGAGAATTTGAAACGAAAAAGAATTGGCGTTGAAGAGTCTTGTGGGCGGTGGCGGAGGGCAAAACGATTTCTCGGCTTTTCGGGCGAGTTGAGGGGCGAAAGGCGGGTCAAAAAGAAGAGAAAAAGTGAATTAAAAAGAATTAAAAAGCAAAAAATAAAAAAGGAATGAAAATAATTAAAAGAATTCCTTTTTGCAAGTCGGAGCTGCGAAGTGGCGCAGCTCTCGATACACCTCGTTGAGGTGTACAGGCAGCTCGGCGACCGCCGCAGTCGGCGGTGCCGCCGAAGGAAAGCACCATTAAATAGATTTGAATTGGGTCTTTTGGCTTAAATTAATTCAATTTATTTCATTTCACTCCATTTTTTTGGCTTTAGACGTCTCAAAGAGCAGCAGCAGCAGCAGCAGCAGCACGGCATTTCGATGCGCGGGACCACTGGCTAGCACCTGCAGCAGCAGCACCACCACCACCAGCAGCAGCTCAGGCAGCAGCTGCTAATAGGCCAAAGAAGGTAAAATAGCAGTTGTCCTCAGGCAATATAGAGCAAGCTGCAGCAGCAGCAACAACAGCAGCAGCAGCAACAACAGCAGCAGCAGCAGCAGCAGTAGGGACTGGCCCCTGCCCAACGTCTCCCCCTTCTCCCTTCGCTCTATTTATTTGCCCCTATTAGTTCACCCACGCGTCTGTAAAGCCTGCAGAACTCTACTGCAGCAGCAACACCAGCAACAGCAGCAGCAACCGCAGCAGCAGCAACAGCAGCAGCAGCAGCAGCAGCACATATCCTTTGCTTGCCGCCCCACTTGCTGCTCCCGTTGCTTCTCCAGGCAGCAAAATTAGCTCTGAAGACCTGCAGCTTCTTTGCCTCTTTTCCTTCCTCGTGCTGCTTCCCCCCACCACCACATAGCAGCAGCAGCAGCAGGAACAGGAAGAGAAACAGCAGCAAACCGCAGCAGCGGCAGCAGCAGCAGCAATGGGAGCCAAATGCGGCAAGCCGGCCGCTAAGAAGCCCGGGCGTCGGGGCCCTCAGGACTTGAAAGAAAGAAAGCCAGCTGAGAAGGACGAAACAGAAGAGCAGCAGCAGCAGCAGCAGCAGCAGCAGCAAGAGGAGGAGGAGGAGCGGCTGCGGCAGCAGCGGCAGCGAGAGGAAGAGGAGAGACAGCGGCAGCTGCTGCTGCAGCAGCAGCGCGAAGAGGAGGAGCGGCGGCGCCGGCAGGAAGAGGAGGCAGCAGCAGCAGCAGCTGCTGCTGCTGCTGCTGCTGCTGCGGCGGAGGCGGAGAGGAAGAGACAAGAGGAAGAGGCGGAGAGAAAGAGACAGGAAGAGGAAGCAGCAGCAGCAGCTGCTGCAGCAGCAGCAGCAGCAGCAGCAGAAGAGGAGCGGCGGCGGCAGGAGGAAGCAGAAAGGGAACGGCAGAGACAAGAAGAAGAAGAGCGAGAGCGGCAGCGAGCAGCAGCAGAAGCAGCAGCAGCAGCAGAAGCAGCAGCAGCAGCAGCAGCAGAAGAGGAGGCTCGGCGAGCAGCAGCAGCAGCAGCGGCGGCGAAGAAGGCAGAGAAGGAGCGGCAGCGGCAGCTGCGGCAGCAGCAGCGGGAGCAGCAGCAGCTGCTGCTGCAGCAGCAGCAGCAGCAAAAAAGACAAAAGAAATTCCTCGTTTGCGAGAAGCAAATGAAACTCATCAGCAGCAGCTGCGGCTGCAGCCTGCAGCAGCACGAAGAAGCAGATTGTGTAGTTTGTCGTTTTGTGGACTTGGCAGACACTCCTCTTTTTGCATAAGTCCCCATTTAATCCATCCCTTTGCTGCTGCTGCTGCTGCTGCAGCAGCAGCAGGGCGGCAGCAGCAGCTGCTGCTGCTGCTTTTGCTGCCGCTGCTGTTGTTGCTGCAGGAGCAGAAGCGCAAGTGCCGACTCCAGCCGCAGCCGCAGCAGCAGCAGAAGTGTCCATAAAGGCATAAACAGAAGAAGCCCGTGGCGCTGCAGCAGCAGCAGCAGCTGCTGCTCCTGCTGCTGCTGCTGCTCATTTATTTGTTTCTTTTTATTTCATTATTCTTCATTTCCTTTATTTGTCTCTTGGCTCTTAGCAGCAGAAAAGAAACCCCTGTTCTTCCTCGCGCCGTTACAGCAGCGGCAGCAGCTGCTGCTACTGCAGCAGCAGCAGCAGCAGCAGCACATTGTGGGGGTGGTTTGTGCTGGTTACAGCAGCACTTGACTTACTTGTTTACTTCTCAATGAACCAAAATACCATCTAGCAGCAGCGGCAAACAAATAAACTAAAATAAACAAATACAAATTAACTAATTCATTGCTAGCAGCAGCAGCAGCAGCAGCAGCACATAGCTGCTGCCCTTCAGGTGTATTGGGACCCAAAAAAAGTAGCTGAGAAGAGTTGATTGAGAAGTCGAGAATTAATACCTGCTGAGCAGCAGC